AATGAGCATATTGCAGATGTTTATACATGCCATTAAACGATCTTCTTTGAGTTCATGTGGAACCCAAATATTGAGCTTGCTTATGTATCCCAGCTTCTTCAGGTGGTCATGAACACTTGCATGATGGATGTTCAATGTTTCTGCAATCTCTCGTGTCGTATAATGTGGGTTTGACTCGATCAATGCCTTTATTTTGTCGTCATCAACCTCGGTGGACCTCCCTGACGGAGGAGCGTCGTTGAGATCAAAATCACCAGCACGGAATTTCATGAACCATCATTGGCACTGACACTCTTGTAGAGTATTGTCACTGTAAACTTTATGCAACTTTTCACAAGCTTGACATGCGTTCTTCCCTTTATGGAAGTAAAACAGTAAAATATGGCAAAAATGCACAGTTTGGTCTTCCATCTTCAACTTGTAAAATCTCCAAAACTCAACCAAATCGCTCAATTTTTTTTCAGAATGAAGCTAGAACTGTCGGCTGTCAAATGACATAGCAATAACATAGATGCGAATGACTCTAGTACTTCCAAAAATGAACTAGTGCCATCTGTCGCAAACATGTGTCATGACTTTTCCGACAACCCAATAAATTCCAAAGAGCAAATGGATCTCCTAGGAATGAAAGGAGAAAAAGTCTCAAGCTTGGGAATTAGAAGGAACATACAGGCTGAGACAGGCTGTGTGATGTTAGGCAAGTCAGTTGGCTTCTCTGTGCCTCAGTTTCCCCTGCTGTAAAATGTGTAAAATGAAAACACCGACCTCAAAGGGTTTTGGGGAGAATGAAGTGAGAAAATGTACCCAGAATGTTCAGTCCTGGGTCTGCACCCAACAAGCACTGAGTAACAGTAAATGGAAATAAAACACAAGCTCATCTTCTTAATCAAGCCCTTCCTTTGAGGTAGTCTGATCCTGAATGAGGGGGTTCCACTTTCATTCACAGTCTGAACAGTTGGCAAATGGGTGCTCAACAAAGTTACTAATTTAGCCATAACTCAAATCTCTTTAGAGTAAGCGGAAGGGGGAAAGACATTTCATGCTTCCAAAAAAACCTGAATTTTTGCCAGGAGCAAAATTCTCACAACGTAAAATTTTAAGCAAGTCCCCAAATCTCTTGTGCAGACATGGGAGCATAAATGAATTCATCAATGAAATAATTTATCCTGGCAAATTTCCCTGAGTAGAAGCAACCATGCTCTACTTAAAAAGGACAGAGGCACGAAATAAAGAATATGGCTACTCTGCAAATCAAAAGTAATTAATTTTCTAAAAGGAAACTAGTTATTTTGTGGTGGGGGGGAAAGCACAAATATTTTCTATTCCTGGTTACAATTTGGTTTTGGACGATAAGTAGACCAAGCTGAGAGTCACAACATACTGGATCTCACCGATTCCATACTTAGAGTAAATTAAGCAATTAGTTCTTGCAGCAGAATTGGGTATAATTTGTAGTTAATGTGGCCCTTAAAGCAGTAAGACATTACTTAAAAGTTCAGAATCTGATTCATGACATATTTAATAACAATATTTAAACCATTGAATCTCATGTACCTTGTAGTGATACAACTCACTTAATTCAAAGATCCTGAATTCTCATTAGCTGAAAGAAACTATTCCTTAAAAGCTCTGAGAACACCTACCTGTCTTCTATGACTCACAGTTAAGCCTCTTTACAGGAAAACCACGGCAGCTTTTCCCATTACCTGTTCAGTGGGTCATGATTAAATAATAACGAGTCATACAGTCATTACATTAGCTCTCCACCTAATAGAGAGCCTCTCAATTATTTTAGAGACGGTCCAAATTCACTTAGGGAATTATCTTAGAGTCATCTTTAATTTCTGCCTCTCTGATTAAGACTCCCCTTCAGCTAAATAACATGACATGCTGTGTTCCTCAGGTGATTTTTAAAAATAATAGTAAGTCAGAAATCAGAAATCAAGCCACAGTAAAAACTCGTTACTAACCCAGAACCTTTGCTAACATTTAAATGTCAGACTAGTTTAGCAGTTGTCATAGTGTTGCCCTGGACTATGGCTCCAGCATATCCTGGGAATCTGTCAGACATGGCGATTTGCAGGCCCCACCCAGGCCTACTGAATCAGAACCTCTGCAGGACGCCACAATCTGTGTTTTAACTAGTTCTCCTGTTGAGAGTTTGGAAACTGTGATCTAGCTAGTTCTAGCAAAAACAGTTGAGGCCATAGGCCAATCTTGATAGAATTATCCAAATAGATGAACTCACAATATATTTGATCCCCTCCCCTCCAACCCCCCCCCCAAAACTGCAATGTTACTCTTAAGTCCCTAGTAGTAACTTGGAATAAAAGGATTTATTTTAGTCCAAATAACCGAATGAGAATTTTTCTGTTTTGAGAGTTATTTGAAAGAAGCAATTGGTCTATATTTCCATTCAAAACGTCAGGAAACTTGAGACACAGAAAGTGGTAAGGGCATTAAGGCATTCTTAACTACTAATAACGAACGTCTTACTGATTCTATGAAATGCTACAGATAAAGGTCACAACGCAGACCAACGTGCAAACGGTCCCAGAGCTGTCATTCTACACAGCAGGTCTCCATGGACAGACCTCTCCTGAACTTTTATCTGCTCCATGTGCCAGCCACTCACTGGCTCCAGGACACAGGGTGACTAACAACCACACCCACAGTTGCTACAGTAGATGAGGAGGGCAAGAGACATCTGAAATGGAGGCTGAATTTTTTATTTGTAGATAATGTGCCTCAGGTTTTCAAAATGTGCTACCCTGAGATTGAGATAGTCATCCCATTTGAGGTTGCCAAGGCCCCTCGGTCAGCCTGTAGGCAACAAGGAAAAGGCCAACTTTGTTAAAATGGGAATGGATACAAAAGTAGTCACCTGTCAGTCTCAAAAATAAACAAACAACCATCCCCCCCCCACCCACATACATCTTGAGTTCTAATACAGGCTTACATTCAATATCATCACAAAACGTTGCAATACTCTAAAACAACTAATTTAATTCTTTACAGCTAAATTTTACATCATCAAAAAAAGCATTACAGAATATGTCAATAAACTAAAATCTAAATAACCCAAAATAAGCTACAAACAATGCTTTATTGTGAAGATCCTTTGCAAAATGTGGCCTGTTGGAATGGAATATCATTCAGCCACAAAAAGGAATAAAGTACTGATATGATACAACATGGCTACAACATGGATGAATCTTGAAAACCTTGTAAGTGAATGACACCAAAGGCCACGCACTGGATGACTCTATTTATAGGAAATGCTCCGGATAGGCAAATCTACAGAAAAAGTAGATTGGTGGTTGTCAGCGCTGGGGTCAAGAGAATGAGAAATGCCTGTTCATGGTTTCGTTCTGGGGTGATAAAAGTGTTCTGTAATAAGATAGTGGTGATGGTCGCACAACTTTGTGAATATACTAAACGAACTCAATTGTACACTTTAACAAGATGGAGTGTATGTCATATGCATTATACCTCGATTTAAAAAAAAATTACAGTATATTCAGGGCATGTGGTTTGAATGGCATACCGAGCAGCATTCTGACTTCTTTCCGTACTACAGTGAGGTTTACTTTAAATGAGGATCTAAGCACCAAAAGGATCTGGCTTTGTTGTTGAAACCGATCTACTAGAAATGAAAATTCAACAGGTGTGTATTTGAGGACCACAATACTTTCCAAAAAATGTCTTCCCCTCTCCAGAATCAACTGTCTGATTTTAGAGAAAACAAGGGCAGATTCCCCAGCAAGCCTTAACTGTCACCATGGGCCTCACATCACCCTTGAGCACTTTCATAAAGCTTCTGGAATTTAAATTATGTCTGTGTATCTGGGGGGCTGTTGGCAATTATCACCATATTTGCAATGCAATTCTCATTAGTTAGAATATGAAAATGATTTCTCTTTGTAAAGGTTCCTGGGCCAACAGCAGCACCATCTATTGGATGAAAATGTAGGTTAATAACTACTTTATTAGAAACAATCTAAAATTTAAAAATTGGGATCTTCTAACCAAAAAAAGTAAAATATGTATACTCGTACACAGAGGTACATTTTCTAACTTTCAGGTTTATGCCTCCAAACCTATTATATTCCATCATCATAGCAAGTCGTCCTCAAGGAAAAAAAGACATTTCTTTAATAAAATGCAAAAATCCAATCCTACAATTCTTCTGGAAAATGGCCGGAACACTTGCGCCTACATCCCATGTAACTGGCTACTTCCGAATGCAATTTCAGTGCTAAATGTGTAACCTGAAAGGAGGCAGATGAAAGACGAACCCATGAATAAATACATCAACCTGGAGCTGTCCTCTGACTGTGGCAGCAGTGGTAGGACGCTACTAGACATTTCGAATGGAACTTTTTTTTTTAAGTAACTGCCCAGACTTGAATGTGAGTAAATTTAAAGTACTAAAAAACAGAAAGTCAGGTTGGTGCTTGTTCCTGTTATTACCTTTCAGGCATTGTGAGCGAGTGTGTAGTGAGTGTGTGAGTGAGTGAGTGTGAGTGTGTGTGCGCGAGTGTGTGTGTTTCGCATCAGACACGTGCATTTTCCATTCAAGCCCATAATACCCACGCAGTAGCATGCATTTTACAGCAAAAACGTGATGTAGTGCTTAGCTCCGCACTACGGGTGTATTTCTGGTTGTATTTATTTCGTGACGTGCATCGAACGGGCTCTTTGCACTTTGCCGAAGATCAGAGAAAAGAGCCGAGCACAGGGACCGTGACTGCCCGGCCTCTCTCCCGTGGTGGCCGGAGCACGTACGCGGCCGGGAGATGGACGTGGGGAGGGGGCGCGTTCTCCCACGCTGCGGACACCCACCCTGCCGCCGCCGACACCGTGGGATCCCGGTCCACCGTCCCCTTTATTCGCCTTGCTAGAGGGCGGCGGCGGCAGGAAGTACCTAATGCTCTGAAATCCCACCTGTGTCCCAAACGATCCCCGAGAGGAAACCCCACGGAGGTCTCATCACTCACCCAGGCGGCAAACACACAGGAGCTGAATGCCAGCGAGGAAGCGCGTTAGGATTCGCATTTCCAGACGGTCCGGGGGCGCCCACCACGCGGCTCCTCAGCTTCTCAGGGTGCAGAGGGAGGGGGTGCCAAGGAAATGCTTTCTCCTCCAGTGTACAGATTGGTGTAAGAAGACTCTGTGTGTGTGTGTGTGTGTGTGTGTGTGTGTGTGTG